GGGGGGGGGGGGGGGGGGGGAGGCGCTGTGTATTTCTAAAGGAAGAACTCAGTAACCATTTCCATCGTGAACCGTGCCTTTGAGTGCCGTTCAAATTCATTTGTAATCCAAAGATCACGAAATCTCTTATTCAAAGCAACGGCTATGAAATGTTCATTGGAGGCTACCCTGAGCATATTCCATGCAAAATCTTGACCACTCACCGCTGGCGTTCAGCATCTGTCATAACACGATATTCCTTTCGAAGGCCTCTTGTAAGACGTTGTCCATTAGGCAGTACGCAGTTAGAGCCGCCACTGCCTGAACGAATCGATGAGTTCGTGAAGAATTTTTTTTCAAGAAGTTTCGATAGCATAATCCGAGTCGTGGCCAAGCAGTTCAAGGTACGGATAAGTACTGCTCAAGACATTTCCACCAGGTTCCTGTCTTCTCCCCTCAACTCTGACTATGCCTTTGAACAAACCTCCAAAAAATCCACACAAACATGCAATATCCATGCACTCATAGGCGTTTCTTGCTGTTGTGGAAGTGGCCAGAAGTGAAGCGGTTGCACCACCACCGGCAGCACTTGGCGCTTGAGCGGCAGTCGGGGACACGGCTGCGACACTCTGAAAAAGCTGCTCCAATGGATTTCCCCCAAATACTATTAGTTCCTTTTCCCTAGGCATGCCTCTGATGGTACCGTATTCATATAGGTATGTGTATGTTACGGCGATGCCAGCGTGATTGGCTTTGCCTAGATCGTCATGTCACGGAAATTGACACTGGAGAACGTAGTTTGCAATTCTTATAGCGATGATAGCTAAATTTGTCATCCATGGCGAAAACACGAAATGTTATGGCAAGTGTCTTGAGACATCCCCAGCGATTCCTTGAAGTAAGCCGCATGTGGAACACTGCGAACTAGCGTGTTTCTTCTGTCCCCTCGTTCTGACCTAACGACTATTGATGTATAAGGTCTAGAATTTTTGAAGAAGGCTATAGCAAACGTAGAGGGTGAGGAGTAAATGGTTGAAGGGAAGGTAGCTTGAGTCGATGAAAAGAACTGTCAGGTCGCAGGTGCCAAAAAGCTGCTTGTTACTCTGATCAAGGCATCATGAGGTCTAACTCAACGGCTCATCTAAGTTGCACTGACTCCAGAAGGTGGTGCCATGTCTGCAAGAATTACTCATAAAGGGAGCAGTTTTGTAAGTAATGTAATAAACATAAAAAGAGATTAAATGTAGATTGTGTAGATTAAAACAAACCCTAGCACTGTTGGCCCATGCATTGATTTGAGAGCAAATTATCTGTAGCGCTTGAGTTGGAGCTAATGAACAAATACCTTGTGAATTCACAGTAGTGATCACGGTACCTAGAAAGAGCAACAAACGCAAAGCGTTCGTTGGGTGCATTGTCTGAAAAGAAATTAGGTGAAAATGTAGTTGGGGGGGGGGCCACCTATCACAATGTCGGTATATCAAGGAATGAACTCAATGAAATAAGGGCTCTCGTAGGGAAGGAGCACCGCGATGGGCAAGTTATTTTTTTATTTTTTTTTCTTTTTGTTTGCAGGAGGTAATCATCCCACCCACCCAGGTGCTCCTACCCTGCCTAAGCTTGTTTGGGAAACTAAATTTCCCTAGCTGAAACTGCATAAAAGAGCTAAGGTGGTCGGTTCCCATCATCCTCAACACATCCGACACAGTGCTGATATAACAAGGGTTAACACGTTAGACTGAGTTCATTTTTTGATATACCGACCTTCGGATGGGTGGCCCCCCCCCCAACTACATTTTCACCAGAAATTAGATAAAATTCGGAAAGATGGCATGCATGTATCACAATTTATTGGGTGAACACATTTTGTTGAAGGTTGAATCAGTGATGGTTGCCTACTTTAAAGCTGAACGCTTCCATTTCCCAAGGGAAGTAGGAGAAGTCTCTAACAGTCATCATCCCTCGACGGTAATAGGCTCAACATTTAAACCTTTACTTGGTTATTCTAAATAATACCTATGCAAACGATAAAACTGTTCCTTGAAAGAATCTCAATCACATTCGCTTCCCTAGAGGGTCATTGAGTGGGTCGAAGTATGTTCGAGTAGCATTATGATTTTGAGTAAGGATCGCCCGCGTGGCACATCTTGAAAGCGTGACTGGCCAACGTTAGCCTTTTTCCGTACGCGTGTCAAGAGCACAAATCAAAGCTCTATAAATTTGCAGACGAGCCTTAGACTCAAGATCTTACAAAGTCAGGCCTATGAGGGCTTCATCCCAAAGTATTAGGAGAAGAGCCTGTTAGAATCACCCAGAGGTTGGATTCCCTCTTGTCGAGACTATAGTGGAGCAGCAAAAAACAAATGTGTGGAACTGGAAACTAAACTAAACTGCGGAATTGACTATTATCGGTTGATATCAAGTCATGGAAATCAGGTCAGATTAAGTTGTTGGGCGATCTTCATTATATAGAAAACAACAAACCATTAAAACACTTACTCACAGCTGTGGTAATGACATCAAGGACGAAGTTTAACATATCGCTGACCTGCTGCTAACCATAGCGTAAACTATAGCATAGCGTAGAAATCGCAGAACTAATCGCCTGCGGAGGAGGATCTCAGTCGTACTTGGTCACATATGCTACCTAACACAGAAAGTGAGAGTGGCTTTCCTCCTATAATTCTTCCACTTTAAGGACTACTTTTTGCAAATTGCTGGAGGTCGAAAATTCTCAAAAAAAACCCACAGTATTCTATACCGCTGTGGTTTTATTGTCTTTCAATACACACATACCTACACGAACCTACACACACGTATCTTACAATTCAGCATGATCTGATCTGTTTATTCTAAAACTATCTACCAAGCGACTCCCAAGTCCGAAAGTAAGGACAGCTGTCATACTAGTTGCCACCGATAAGCTCGGGCATTTACTCACTTTGCTCATTTCATTCCATTCATAGGTTCTCGATGTGAAACTCTATGAGGGTTAGCCTGGTGCTGATGTCGCCAACGATCACTTCAGAAGTGTGGTCCTCTATAGAGGATCCAGTCCATTCTCGTTGACATATTTTGATTATGGTGCCCGAAGATTGTTAGTGTCCGGAATGAGCTGCTTTCCTGGCACTATCGTGTATTCTTCATCAATGTTTCGCTGT